TACGTAAGATGTATATGTATTAATTGATATAATATATAATATCTAAAACCAAGGCCGTAACCAGGAAAAACTTATTTTTATTTGAAAGGAATGGGAAAGTTAAAATTATCAATGTTTTTATTAACTATAACAACTTCTTAGATACTGAATTGTGTATTAACTCACAAATAAAAATAGTGTTGTTTTTTACATAAGAGATTCGCATACGTAGTATAATATGTAAAAGTGCGTGGTACGTTGTTAATTATATTTAATATTTAAGATTATGTGCAAAGCTGTGCATGTATTGATTTTACAATATGTTTTATTTTTTTATGTGTTGACGATTAAAACTAGAAAACATGCTTCGATATTCAACTTCAATATCTTTTCTTTCTTTTTGAAAAATAAATCTATAGATGGCATGCTAAGGAGATAGAAATTAAAAATTCGCAGTAATTTTCAAAATAATTAGGGAGAAAAAATATAAATTTTAAGGAAAACGTGAATTTTTACGCTACTCTAGCTTTCAACAAAATCGATTTTCTAATTCGGTTATAATAAAAAACGAATAACTGTTGATACTTTTGATTTTCGCCAAATGTTTGTAATTGCAATTTCTACACATGATATAAGTTTTAAAATATTTTGACTTTTTTTAAAGCTATTTWTAGACGTCCGACATATTATTTTTATATCGGTTAGAAATTGGGCAAGTGGGTAATGGTTCTGTATWTATTAAATGTCTAGAAAAATTTAATTTAATGGATATGTTATATATTTATATCTATAATCATATATCATAGTATTAGATATTTCTGCAGAATTTTACATCATTATATCAAATAATTACAATATATTTAACATACTCTTGGTTGAAAGGAGTAACCAAAATATGAATGAGATAAATCCACTCTTTAGTGTTTAGTACTTAGATATTTAAATCAAACGCATATACATTTCGATTCGTTCCTGAATAACTGTTGGTAACTTTTAACAGACATGTTCACGAAAAAAAATATATTTATGCATTTAATTAATATCATAAATTATAAATATTCCCGTTCAAAGAAATTTATATTAGGGAATTGCGTTGGCATATTCATATAAAATATACACACCCAGAGTATTGTAATAATTACGTATTCGCCTGGAGCTATTGTTGACGCTTTCGATAAACACCGACAGTTGGTTTCCGGAGAGTTAGCCCGGAAGTATTCGCGAAGCCAWTACACAAATACAATCGCGGAACTAGATCACGAATCTTTTGAGACACTGTACTGGTTCTCCGCGCATGGGCTTATTATTTAAATACTTATTGTAGTATGTCTCTAGTCATGATTATACAACGGTCTAATGAGAAACTTCATTACTTGTGGGTGGAATCGATAATGACGTGTACCTACCTAAATATGAAATATAATGGAGGCGTCATGTTCAACGRAAGTATTTCGTAGTATGACCGGTATTAAACTGCTGCCAGGCTAACTGAATTATTTTTAATTAGCATAATAGCTAATATACGCTTATACGTTTTAGTTTTAAATCGTTATTTATCTGATTTCATAAACAATAGTTTGACCATAAAGATCACCRATTACTTTTTGCTTTTATTGTTTAAGATATTACTAGGGTCTAAACTACACGTAAATGTAACTGCATGAGTATTGGATTAGGTACTATATAAATTTATTTTATTCATTAAAATTTAAAATAAATTAACTTGTATGACGTATAAAAATGATATTATATACCTAATATAAATGATAATTATATAATTATGTTTTTCATTTCAAAGGGCTATCCCATAATAAAAAAAATATATATCATACGACTTGGTGGTTTTAATAATGCAATTTTAATTATACCAATAAGCAACACGTTATTTCATAGTTTTTATTTTATACTACATAAATCAATATATAAAATCTAAAAAATCTAAAAAAGCGAGTAAGAGCTTTCCCATGAAACGTGAAGATCCCTGTGGTAAAGGTTTTACCGTTAAACACATCATTTTACACTACTGCAACTACGCCGATGCCAGATCATCTCTCAAACRTTCTGGATCATCTATATGAAGCACTTGGACCCAGTCTTGAAAACTACAGCATCATCATAACATTTATACAAAGAACTAAACT